TCTTCCAATTCAAGAGCTCGATGTGAGCAATTCAAGTTTGCTTTAATAAAACATTATTTTGTTCGTTAAGTCTTGGCCTGTTCATTATTGCCCCGTCCTGTCCACATAGTTCCTTCAGGTTTGAAGGAAGGCTCCGGAATTCCGCAGCTGAATGGAACGAACTTTGAGAATTGTCGGTTTCGAGTTCAACTGTATCTGGATGCGGCAGAAGTTTCGGACGTATTAACCAAGCCAGTTCCCGGTGAATCAGACCAGGGAAGGGCGAAGTTTTTGTAGACAGATCGGAAAGCGAAGTCCTTGCTAGTTGGATTCCTTTCTGATGAATGTCTAGGCATAGTACGGGACGAGGAGACTGCTCGAGAAATGTTGAAGGCACTGGAAGATACAGGTGCAAAGAAGTCTGTAGCAAGTCAGACCCTGTTGCGGAAGCAGTTGGCCAGGCTCCGTATGAAAGAACGAACTTCGATGCGGCATCATTTTCAACAGTTCGACGATATCATACGCCAACTCAAATCGGTAGGCGCGAAGCTCGAAGAGAACCACATGGTATCGCAATTATTTCTCACCCTTCCCAATAGCTACGACTCTCTTGTAACGGCTCTAGAGAATATCAACGAGAACGACCTCATATTGGAGACTGTGAAACAGCGGTTACTGGCTGAAGAATCCAAGCGGTCTGATAGGATGGAAGATTCGAGCGAAGACAAGGCAGCAGCGTTTGTTGGAGGAAGAAGTAAGAAGCAACGAAAGTTCAACGGAAAGTGTCATCGATGTGGCAAAACTGGCCACATGATGAAAGATTGTCGTGTCAAGAAGACCGATGGTAACGTCAACGCAGCGAACCAACCGAGAAGATCGACAGCTCTGGATGACCGCAGTTAGAGACGAGCTAAAATCTCTTGAGGAGAATAAGGTGTGGAATGCCCTGCCGGTGTCAAGCCCTTGCAGTCGAAGTGGGTCTTTCGCGTGAAAGAGGATGAAGAAGGAAACCATGTGCGATGCAAGGCAAGATTGGTAGTCAAAGGTTTCTAGCAAAAGGCTGACCTGAACTACAATGAAACATATGCGCCCGTTGCAAAGTTGACGACGATTCGAATTGTGCTGGCCGTAGGCGTACAAAGGGGATTCCAGTTCCATCAGAAGGACGTCAAGACGGCGTTCCTTCATGGTGAGCTACAAGAGGCTGTTCCGGATGGCGTCAAGGCAGACCCTGGGCTGGTGTGCCAGCTAAAGAAAAAATCTGTCTGTCTGAAGCAGTCTCCTCGTTGTTGGAACGAAAAATTCAATCAAGCGCTGCTGAAGCTAGGTTTCACACGTTCCAAGCACGACTATTGCCTATACACCCGTATCGACAAGAGGGGAAAAGACTGATAGCAGGTATGCAGCTGACCACCATAATGAAGCTCAAACGCGAACTGTCGGCGATGTTTGAAATGACCGATTGTGGAGAGTTGACTCGTTTTCTTGAGATGAAACGGTACGATCAATAAAATGGTAGAATGATGCTGTCTCAAGAAACCAGACTGGAAAAGATATTGCAGAAGTTCGGCATGGCGGAGTGCAATGCAACAAGGACGCCAATTGAGAAAGGATTGAAAGTGGATCGTCAAGTGGCCGAAGGTGTTCAAGAACCGCACCGAGAATTATTGGGAAGCCTGATGTACGTGATGATGTCCACAAGGCCGGACATTTGCTTTCCTATCGTATATCTGGAGAGATTCCTACTTCAACCTGGACAACAACATTGGACAGCTCTGAAACGGGTTGTACGATACTTAAAAGGATCGATGGAGTGTTGCTTGACGTTTATTAGAGACAATCCAGCGGCGCCACTCATCGGGTTTGCTGATTCAAACTGGGCCACCGATACTGACGACCGGAAATCAGTAAGCGGATTTGTTTTCCGTGTTTTCGGATGTACTGTTGCGTGGTCCAGCAAGAAGCAAATCACAGTTGCAACTTCTTCAAGCGAAGCTGAATATGTAGCGTTGAGTGCTGCAGCATCGGAAGCAATATGGCTAGTCGGTGTTCTAGGCGATCTCGGTGAGCTGAACATTGAACCAATCACCATATACGAGGACAACCGTGGATGCATTGGTATGACCAAGAACTTGGAGAGTAAGAGAGCCAAACACATCGACATTAAACACCATTTTCTTCGTGATCATGTCGCTGCTGGTAGGCTATTGGTGGAGCCGATTGCCAGCAACAACCAGTTGGCTGACTTCTTCACTAAATCGTTGGACCGCGGACGGTTTGAGGAACTTCGGACGTTGCTGGGACTATCCAAGCGAGAGGGTATGAAATCAAAGTAGTCGTTGGATTACCTGACCTGGTCACTCCTGTTATTTTTTCGCTGTCTTTCCAATTCAAGAGCTCGATGTGAGCAATTCAAGTTTGAGTTAATAAAACATTCTTTTGTTCATTAAGTCTTGGCCTATTCATTATTGCCCCGTCCTGTCCACATAGTTCCTTCAGAAAATCAAACATTCCACCTTGGACACCTGCTAAGTACGGTGCTGGATCTGAGGAAGTAACGTTCTCAAAAACGAGCTTATATGACATCTAAAGGGTGATACGGTCAAAATTTGGACAATATCAACTTGACGTATTTCTTTCAATTTTGCATTTAAAAAACCTGAACACCCCTCATTTTGAGGATGTGTGTGTGTAGAATGTTGCTCCTATTTTGATTTTGGAATTCACTCTTCAGTTGTCAAAATGCCGTCCAAGCAAGAAGAGCAGCGTATCAAAATTTTGCTCGCGCATCGTGAAAATCCGAGCTACTCGCACGCAAAGTTGGCAAAATCGCTAAAAGTTGCCAAATCAACCGTTACAAATGTAATTAAAGTGTTTGGGGAACGTTTGTCGACAGCCAGGAAGTCTGGATCGGGGGGAAATCTAAAACCGGAAGCCGCTGAGACGACAAAGAGAGTTGCCGGTAGTTTCAAGCGAAACCCTAACCACTCTCTCCGAGATGCCACAAATAAGCTGGGTGTATCGTCTACAACCGTGCATCGAGCCAAAAAACGAGCCGGACTATCGACTTACAAGAAGGTAGTGACTCCAAATCGCGATGATAAACAAAATACGACGGCCAAAGCGCGATCCCGGAGGCTGTACACGACGATGCTGCCGAAGTTTGACTGCGTGGTAATGGACGACGAAACCTACGTCAAAGCCGACTACAAGCAGCTTCCGGGACAGGAGTTTTATACGGCAAAAGGAAGGGGCAAGGTAGCAGATGTTTTCAAGCACATGAAACTGTCAAAGTTCGCAAAGAAATATCTGGTTTGGCAAGCCATCTGTACCTGTGGCTTGAAAAGCAGCATTTTCATAGCTTCCGGGACTGTCAACCAAGAAATTTACGTGAAAGAGTGTTTGAATAAACGTCTGCTGCCTTTCCTGAAGAAACACGGTTGTTCCGTACTGTTTTGGCCGGATTTGGCATCTTGCCATTACGGTAAAAAGGCCATGGAGTGGTACGCCGCCAACAACGTGCAGGTGGTTCCCAAGGACAAGAACCCTCCCAACACGCCAGAGCTCCGCCCAATTGAGAAATACTGGGCTATTGTCAAGCGGAACCTAAAGAAGACCAAAAAACTGCTAAGGGCGAGCAGCAGTTCAAGGCAAACTGGCTTTCTGCGGCGAAGAAGGTGGACAAGGTGGCTGTACAAAATCTGATGGCAGGGGTCAAGCGCAAGGCCCGGCAATTTGGATTTGGAAAAGCGGAAGCCTAACTGAATATTTTTCCTGAATTTTATACTAATTGAACTTGAAAAAGAAATTTAATTTGATTTTTTAAATAAACGATTTCACCGATTTACACGCGTTTTCCCTTGACCAAATTTTGACCGTATCACCCTTTAGTGGCTGGTTGATGATGTACTTTATTGAAGTACAGAATGGCACTGATTGATTTAATTTTGATGGCGATTTTGACGATGCTTCAAATGATAAACCCAATGGCGAAAAATGTGGATCCCACAAACCATAAATGATGATTCACACTCTCCAAATTTACTTTTAACCAGGCTTCATATAAAACATGAGTTAATGGTAATGGTATAATTTGTTCAAGAGGAGATTCGATGAAATTGAATGTAAATGAAAGCTACGTTCAAAAGGCCACATTATGCAACCAGGAAAAAAATTACTTTTTCCTTAATGAAGAGCTTTTTGAGTGTGTTGATTAATTGCCTTTTAATTCCGTTATAATTGCTTATCTTTTGACAGATACACGTATTTCGTCTACTACTTGCAGACTTCATCAGTGCCAAGAACTCAACGCACTGATGAAGACTGCAAGTAGTAGACGAAATACGCTTATCGGTCAAAAGATAAGCAATTTTAACGATATTAAGTAAGAAGTAAATCAACACACTCAAAAGGCTCTCCGTAAAGGGATTCCGTTAAGAGGTTCGAGAAAATTAAAACATAGACTTTTTCCTACAAACGTTCATACGATAAACGCTTTGTTTCAACTTCCCCCAATGAGGCCCCAGCTTTAGAGTCGGGAATTCGTTATACTCACAGTTGTATAATAGAACCGTTAAATCAGAAAAAAAAACCCTCAGATTCATTTAGCCAGACTCAACTTACTTGAATTTATGGTATACCAACTGCTTCACAATTCATGTGATATATCCGCAAGGAGGGCATTCAAGTTCCAACCAATAATGCAATGGATCCATTTCCCGGATTTACATTTCCCATTTACATAAAGATTAAAACCCATCCTCATCCCCGGGATATCTCTCTCTCTCTCTTTCTCTCTGCATCTGCCGTCCAAGACTCATATAGATTTCCGCACAATCACAATCCGCGCTTCGTTCAGGAAATTACGAATAATGAATAAAAACATCAGCTTGGCTCGGTCTTTTATTTTCGTTCGCGGAAAAAAAAATCGTTTGACCACCCACGACAACGACTACGAATGGATTCGTTTTCTAATGTATTTTTTTTTCTCATTCCTGTTATCTCTTTATTTTTTTGAACAGATCGGTCCCCTGAAAGGATATTATTTATTTCATCACAGCCACGTCCGGAAGCGATCTCTAGATAGGAGCGAAGTTCACCACAGCGCACTTAACACCGAACCAGAGGTAAGTTGGATGGATTTTATCAGTCGCTCCCTGTGGAGGTTTCCATAGAGAAATCTCACTCACCTCCCTAGACCCCCCCCCCCTCCCCCCGTCCCTTCCAAATCCATTCCAATGACGTACACAGGTCAGTGGAAGCTACCTTTCCCTCTGTAGCGTTGAACTCCTCAGCACGATGAAGATCTCACTATTCTCTGGATATTTTGTTTGTCCATCACTTGAAAAGCGCTCAAATCCCATTAAGATGAATTGAATTATTCTATCGAGATGGGAAACGGGGCCAGCTGTCGTCGTACTTCGGCAGCCGCTTTTCATTCTGCGAGGATAGATGCCGTTTTTTTATATTATTTGCCTGCTTGACCAAACAACACTCCTCTCCCCCATTCAATTTAGACTTTCCGGGAAATTGGTTGTTTTTCTTACTACCGACGATGTCTGCTTTCATGTTTTTTTTTTCTCTTTGTGTGTGTGTGTTAGGTTCGATGGATGCAACAACAGCACGAGAAGATCCGCCGTAAGCGCGACTATTCGACCTTCGATCAGGACTTTGTCCGCTTTCCGGATCCACGCTCCATCGCTCCCGGGAGCCGGATCAACTATCGGGACACTAGTTCCCACAATATCTTCCCGGATCCGCTCTTCAAGGAGCAATGGTACCTGGTGAGTAGAGTATGTGTTGATATTTTTCTTTCTACTATGAGTTCAGTTTGGGACACGAGCAAATCAACGCTTGGTTGAGGAAAAAAACACATCTCACGCTTATGCAGCCGGGTTGAGGAAGCTTAGGTTTTCGGTGCTTCTGAATTTGGGAGGAGACTGCAGGTAATAATGGAAGGGGGAAATAGTTATGACAGTTTCTTGATCAAAAGAAATCTTGGAAAGCTTCCAGCTTCAATCTGCACTGTAAATATTGCAAAACTGCGATCCAAATGCTTGGATTGAAAGTGGTTGAAGGAAACAAATTAACACAACGCTAACTTTTAAAACCCCAGAACTATTTACTTTGAAACTGACTTATCTCTACAACGCTGCCAAGTAACAGCATAGAAGGAATCTGGACTGTTAAAAAATAATCCCTCAAGAGAACGACCCGCCAACTAAACGATACCCATCGAGACAAATAAATAAATACCCCAAGAATGGCAGTCAACAACAACGACAATGACGACGACGAGAAGGAGCATCCATCGGCAAAAAGGATTAGCCAATGTTTACCAACTAAATCATACTTTGGCGATCGATATCGAACTTTTTTATGGCGTCTTTTCTCCGAACCATAAAAATGGAGCCGAAAGGTTATTGAAGCGAAATTTATGTCTTCCCATTCAGAGTACTTTCCCCAACTCTCAAAGAAGCCGAGTGTGGATGAAAATAGAATCATAAAAGTATAAGAGATCCAAAAATAAAAATAAATAAATGATATACATAAACGTGCGATGGCCTGTCACCTATTATCAAGCCTTTTGTGGAAAATCCCACATTTCACGCGCCACATTTCAAAAGTGCATATTTTCGATGGCAGAATCTCTTCGTCGATTTACTCTTTGAATTAATTCGGCATCATAAAGAAAATCCTGATCAAGCAATTCAAATCCATACGTGTAGCCGCATTATTATTAAAAAAAAAATGGTTGGCCTTATTCAAATTTGACACGAGATTTATTGAATTTGCAGAGACGAGCAAACAAACATACTTGCGTGATTACCTGTCTTCAGCACGTCTTCCGATGAATGCGTTCCACTCTAATTGCAAGCCGCTGTACTACACTGTTAAAAAAAGTAGTTTGAATATATACCTGTTATATATCATGAGCAGAAGTGGAGTGTTACATATCATTCAAGTTGCATACATGATAGATCATGTAAAGTTAATTGCAGATTTAATTAATAATTTCAAGTATTTTAGGAATCCGTCCAACTTTGTAAGCAATATGTTATGTTAATTGATTATTTGCATGGAAATAAAAACAACTTTACACGCATGTAAATTAATATTCAGATTTTTTTTCTGTGATTAGATGAGAAATTTCGTTTCCACACACGTCTTTACGTCTTTGTTGATTAATGTGATGATGAAATTTCCCCTCGCTTCCGCTTTCAAAATTTCACACGCTCCCGTGACGAACAAATATCTACACACTTAAGTGCATGTATTCAACTCACTGAGAGCCCCACCCATGGTGTCGCCTTTATGTGGGGGTTGGTAAAGTTTCCAAGCTGAAATGCCATTCATAATTCATGGCTCATTTTTTTAACTAGGGATATTCTTCTGAAAATGTATCAAAAACAATTTTCCGTGACGGGAAACCGTTGGGGACCAGTTCATGGCCAAATAAGATGAAAGCTTAAAAATGTTGGCTCGACCTTCTCCGATTTGCATGCATTGTGTGTTATGGGCAATCATTCTCATTTTCGAATTAAATTGTAGCAAGAAAACGTAATTTCTGATTTTAAGGCCACCATTTAAAAAATCATTGAGAAAAATTTACAGATTTTATACAATTTAAAAAAGTATACCCAAAAACAAATATTTATTTATTTATTTATTTATTTATTTATGACTAAACATCAACAGGCGTTAATGACCCCAATGATGTAACCTAAACTAAACTAGAAAAGTACTAAAACTAAACATCAATAAGTACATAGTCATCTCGTAAAAAAAAGGAACATTACTAAACAAAACTATACTGATTTAGAAAACAATATAAAGAACGAAACCTCCGTCGAAGCAGCTGGCGGGTCAGGTCAAAGTCAACCAGAAGAGTCTCTGTAAACCACCGATTGCGCCGAACATGCTATAATTAGTTCGCTGAATGGGCAGGCACAGCATTGAATTATTCCGTAGGGCTCAGGGTTGAACGTTGATGTCAACTTGCTCATGAAGAACAGGGAAATCGGTGCGTCCTTGCAAAATACCCGCAATTAGCAATGCCCTTGCTATACCTCTTCGGACCGACAGGAGCTCCAGATGGATCAGTTGCAAACGACTTTCGTAGCAAGGCAATCGGAAGGGATCCATCCACTGCAGTTTACGCTCACACCTCATCGATCGCCGATTGAGGAAAGACGTATTTTTAATAACCGCCGCGAATCGCGTGCAATTGGTATCATATATCAATTCCAGTATAATCATTTTCGAATACGGTGCACCGACCATTGACACAGTTTCGCTAACTCATAGTGCAAATATAAGAACAACTTAATCTGTATAAGAAGTTTTTTACCAAAATGCCGCCAATGGGCGGCACAAATAACTTCCCCCCTCTGGGGGGAGCAAATCCCGTCATAACGGGCAAATTTATGATAGTGGAAAATGCAGACGTAAATCAAAATCTAGTAGACGTTTCTGCTTTTCTTATTGAAAAAACAATCACCAGTTTCTGTGGTGAAGTGGAAAATATAAAAAAACTGCGTGATGGAAAAATTCTGGTTCAAACAAAAAGTGCAAGATCTGCACAAAATTTGCTAAAGCTTGAAGCCTTAGGCCAGTGCCGTGTAAAATTGAGCGAACATAAATCCCTAAATAAGTGTCGTGTGGTTGTGTCATGCTGGGAAGTGATGTGCGAAGAAGAATCAACGATTGCTGATAATCTGAAACCTCAAGGTGTCACCAACGTAAGACGAATAATGAAAAAAGTCAACGGAACGTCGACCAAGACTGCAGCCCTGGAATTAACAATAAACAGTCCGAACGAACCAGCAAGCATAAAAATTGCTTATATGCACGTTCCAACGCGACCCTACTACCCGAAACCACGTAGGTGTTTTAAATGTATGAAACTCGGTCACATCGCAGCTCTATGCGCTTCGCAACAGCTATGCTGGAGATGTGGAGAGGAATATCATGGCGAAAACTGCGACAAGACTACCAAATGTATTAATTGTAACAAAGATGACCATACCTCCACAAGCAATAAGTGTTCTCTATGGATCAATGAAAGAGACATTATCAAAATCAAAATCGACAAGAAAATTTCTTATGAAGAAGCCCGGAAAGTAATAAATGAGAAAAATAAAATGAACTACGCTGAAACCATGAAAAAAGGCCTGGAAGAAAAGTTCCAAAACGAGCTAAAAAAGCGGGATAGCAAAATTAATCAACTAGCTGATTTACTAGAAGCAAGCGTAAAACGCGAGCAAGAAGCTGCTAAGCTTGCTGAGCAGTTTCACGAGAAAATGTCAGCGCTGGAACACAAGCTCGAAAAATGCATGAAAATGCTAAATGAAGAGAGAACTGCCCGAAAACACGCTGAAACGGAATACGACTCACTATTAAAATACGTTTCAAAAATCGAAGCAAGGCACCAGAAACATGATAAAGTGGCAAAACAAAAGTATACAAAAGAACAACACGACCAGAACATACAATATCCATCTAGGAAAAAGAACAGATCAACTGAAAACAACACGATAGATATGGACATCTCACTATTGACCACGAGCAAAACTGACGAAAACGCACCTAGTAACAATGACATTTACCAAATAGAATTCTGCGACCTCCCGTCGGACTCGGAACAAATCTAGCCCACCAATCAAACAAAATTATGACAGAAATTCTACAATGGAACTGAAATGGATTAAGGTGTCAATTTGAAGAACTTCAACTTCTAATCAATCAATATAAACCAAACATCATCGCACTACAAGAAACCAGAACGAATCCATCAATCAATCCTAACATCAAGGGTAACGAAATCATTTTCTCCCACCGGCCATCAGGTCAAGGTGGAGTAGCAATTGCAATAAAAACCGGAATCAAATTCGATAAAGTGCAAATAAATTCAACTCTGGAAGCAATAGCAGTTGAAGTAAATATTCCACGAAAAATGACTGTCTGCAGCATATACTTATCGCCTTACCAGCAAATCAACAGAACTGATCTAGAAAACATCTTGAATACGCTACCCAAACCATTCATCTTATCAGGGGATTTTAATGCTCATTACAACCAATGGGGCTCAAAAAGAGACGACTCAAGAGGCAAAATGATCGAGGCTCTTATAAATGACCAACACCTTATCACTTTAAATGATGGAAACCCACACTATGCTCAGCTTAAATAGCCGACAAATTAAATTGGACAGTAGCAGATGATCAACACGGCAGTGATCATTTTCCAATAATGATAGGCTCTGAGCAACACCGCCAGAGGTCCCGAATCGCCAGATGGAAAATTGAAGAAGCCGACTGGAATATTTTCGAAGAAGAAATCGAAAAGCTTATTCTCCCAAGCTTTAAATATTCAATAGAAAATATAACGGAAGCCATAAAAACAGCCGCCTTACGATCAATACCCAAAACTTCAACAAAAACTCACCCCAAAGCTGTTCCATGGTGGAACTCTACAGTAGCTGATGCCGTCAAGAAAAGAAAAAAAGCCTTAAGAAAAAAACAAAAATCAAACCCAAGCGACCCTCTATATCATGTCATCCACACTGAATTCATTCGAGCTAGGATTTTTTGCAGAAAAACCATCAAATAAGAAAAGCAGAAATCGTGGGAACAATTTGCATCGTCCATCAATGAAAATACACCCACAAAGGAAATCTGGAATCGCATTCGCTCAATTTCGAAAAATGGATCAGCATCATCAAAAACATGGGCCATCGCCACAGAAAATGAAATCATCTCTAACCCAATGGACATCGCAAACCATCTAGCTC